ACACACCCTCCGAGAAGCTGGGGATGGTGAGGCTAGGAGACCAAAACACTGTCACGGCCTCACCATTTTTTATTGAATGTTTCAAAGATAAATTGAACTTCAAAAGGCAACTCCCCAAACAGCCTGGAGGCTGGTTGGAGGGGAGAACTGGAGGAGGGTGTCAGCCTCCTGGGTGACTTTCCCCTTGGAGGGGGTCAAATATGCGCCCTGGAATTACCTTTCCTTGCGGGGAAAACTGGCCACCTCCCTCGCGTGACACAGCCAACTTTGCGCGGAGCTGGCCGCTCTTTGCACGCAGGACTTCGGGATGGGGCCTCGTCGGGGCGCCTTGGGTCAGCCTGGTCCATCTGAGACACCAGGGACTGCAGGGGGAACGCTGTCTCCTCCACTTCTCCTGCAACCTGGGGGGGGTTGCTGCCTTGCCAAGTTGGGGCTGGCCCAGAGGAGATTCTGCTAGCTTTTGTGCACACTGGTGCAAGGGTATTTTTGACTTGGATTTCCCATATGGAGGTGAAAATGGAGAGCGAGGCTAAAATGAAAACGTTCACAGTCCTCTAACGTATTTTTGGTCGGATCTGTGTGGGAAACGCTGACTTAGGGAGGGGAGCATTCTTTTTCCATTAAAACTGAAGTATCTGAAATTGCTATTCTATCCAGTTCTAATCAGCCCCCTTCCGTCTCTCGTTTTGCTCCCTAATTTAAAGGAAAAGTAATTTCAGATTGAAGCGGCTGGCTCTCTTCGACCGAGTAAGGGACTTTTGTTTTTAACTTTGTAACTTGAGTGACATCTCATTTTGGTTCAGTGGGGGCGGTCTTAATTACTTAAAGGCAAAGGGAAGGGGATAGAGGAAGGAAGGAGAAAGACTCTGCTCTCAAGAAAGTTCCCTAAAGAAAGCACTTAACACAGGCCCAAAGACATTTCAATAAAAATTTATTGAAATTTCAATGACGTTTTAAAGAGAGGGGGGAAAATACAGAAAACCAAAGAACTCATCAACAATTATAACACAAAGTATACCTTCATGAGTTTTTGTCTTAAACCATCTCTCAGCACCTGACTTTTGAACTGTGAATATATCTCTATAGGCACCAATTCAAAACACCATCAAATTGAAGACAATAGTCAATTCCACTTCATTTGAAGAAATCAGAGACTAGCAAATACAAATACAAAAGAAAAATTAGAAAGTCAAACCACAGCCTCTGTACTCCCCACCCTTCCGACCCCCAAGCAACATTAGAACCACTCTTAGGATGTTATATTTTGAGGAATTTAAGGTGGAGCTGGGAAGTGGCCCCACCTTCCTAATTTTGGGTAAAATAGGCAATAGCACTTTCCCTCACTCTTGGACATTAAAAAAGAAAAAACTTTTTTTTTTGCAGATTAACGCTTTTGAAAGTGTGTTGGTATTGGTGCAGAAAGTGTGTTTTCTAGTTTTAAAAGCAATCCTGTGACCTTGAAATAAAACTGACTAAAGGAAAACAAGAACACAAAACCTGACAGCTGCAATCCTATTTACATAGAGCTATATACAATGTCAATAAATTAAAGTTTAATTTTCCAAGCATTCATATTCCACCTATTTACAAGAGTTATCAAATAATTACATAAATACTTTGCTAATAGTCTCGCTTCTTCTTTATTATTTTTTTTAAAACCTTGTTATTGCATATACAGGAAAGAGAAAGAACCGCCAGAGAGACATGAAATCCTGCTACAGAGCTTAGATAAAATAAACTCATTTTTTTGTGTGTTTTCCCCACCTCTTCCCTTTACATCCTCCCCCTTGGGGTTGCGGATGAGAACTGGGTAAAAGGTGTGGGGTCATGTTCTTTTCTCTCTAAAAAGCAAGCATTCAAAATGAAAAACCACAAATACATCACTGTGGAACATGCAAGAAGAGACCGATAGCGGCTCTTAAAACATCACAAGAATATTAAAAAGACACAGATTTCCTTAATAGAGACTAAACAAAGCTGGCAACGACTCCCACCCCCCCACACCCCACCCCCCCGGAAAAAAAAAAACAAAAACAATGCTGCTCAGTCATTTCTTTAGAACTGATACGCAAGTCACTATAAAGTTTTTTAATCTTCACAAACAGAATCATGTTAATGTATTCATTTGCCCCCGGTATTTTTTTTTAATTTTATTTGTTTTTGTTTCCACTTGACACGGTGAAGGAAAAAAATATATAAATCTGCACTGGGGGAGAAGTCTTTCAACGCCTCCCCTCTTGGGACACCTGGCTACCTTTTTCTTCCTAGGCTTCCCAGACCAGCCTCACTGGAGGTGCTCTGGACAGACCTGTTTTCACTCCCACCCCCAACGGCTCAATGCAACAGACGTTTCTGAGCCCCCAGAATCTGAGCCAGATCCCGGATATATAAACCACGCCAAGAAGACAGAGCCTGTTTCTAGCATATTCTCTCGAGGGAGTCCGGCACCCCTTCCCAGACAGGACCGCACAAAGCAGGGCTACCCCACACTGCACGTCCGTGGTTTATTTTACATCCAACAAAGTGCACTGCAGACGTGACTGGACTGGAATGAAAAGGCTTTTCTGGGGAGGGGTTTATGGGGACGCGCTGCGGGACCTGTCGGGCTTGGCTTCCAAGCCGCTGACCAGCCGCTGGATGCTCTGCAGTTCGCTGGTGGCCGCCTCTTTCTCAGGGCAGAGTTTGGGCGACAAGGACACGGAGCTGGAGGAGAGGGTGGAGGAACGGCTGTTGAGTTCTGAGCCCGAGTCCACGGCCACCGAGGCCGGGCTGGCGGCCAGGGCAGCGGCTTTGGCGTCCAGGGGCCCCGCGACCCCCGCCATGGACGGCAGGGCGGTGGTGAGCAGGCTGCTGCTGTCGGGGACCGGCAGGGGGATGGAGTAGGGGCTGTAGCGCAGCCGCGGGCGCATGGTGTTCAGATTGAGGAAGGGGTGGCGGTGCACGGAGCTGGAGGCCGCTGCAGAGGAGGCGGCCGCCGCCGCGGCCATGTACGTGTAAGGGTAAGGGAACAGGCTTCCGAAAGGCGACATGGCCAGGCCCTGGGGAAGGAAAAGAAATGCATCCAGCGAGTCAGCCAAGAAGGGGCTGCGCGGTGGGGAAAACGCCAGCCTTGTCGATTCCCCCCCTCCGCCCCTCCACCACCACCTTGGGACCTTGCGCGAGTCATTGCTCTCTCCCCCTGGGGGTGTGGAGTGGAAGAGAGAGGGGGACTTATTCCTCTAGGTCCAAAGCTTAGCTGTGTCACTCTAGGCCTAGATACTTCACTCCCTGTGCCTCAGCTTTCTTATGTGAAAAAACAAACAACCAAACAACCAGGGAAATATTAAATAATTCATATACTTTGGGGGACTTTGAATAGTAAATGAGCTAATGCCTTCGCTATGCTATGTAAGGTGCCTGGCCAGCAGGTCTGTTAGAAATTCTCCCAGCAGGGTCAGTCGTTGCACCTGTTAAATGGGGACTACCCCACAGGGGGAGCTGAGTGAACACCAGACGGCATAAATTATTAGACATCATTATTTTTCATCTTGACCCCCCCACACACCCCCAAACTCTCCTACTTCAACCCTAGAAGTGTTGCGAATGAAAAAAAAAAATCCAGGGAAGTTAAGCAAAAGGAAACTGGGAAGGGTGGGGGTGGGGAGGAAAAGGGGGTTTACTATACAGACAGAGACAAAGAAGTAACCTAGCCTGATACGCTGGTAGTGCAGGTGGAGAAACTGAGGTAGGCCCCGGGGGCCCAGGAAATCACTCAGCTAGCAAAGTGACAGGAAGCAGAAGTTGGAATCCAGGGACCCAGACCTGGGCCAGTTACCTGCCTCTTACTTGTTGGCCCACGCCGCCCCTTGCACACCTATCACCTGCCCACCTACGACGGGGTCACCAGGAGGGGCTCGCTGAGGAGATGGCAGGAATTGAGAAAGGCCAGAAACCAACCCTTTGCTCAACCCCCTCCTCCCCCAGAGTGAGAGGCCAATCCTGCCTCTTGGCTCAGGGAAGGGAAGAAGAATGTGCCCAGAGAAAACAAAAGGCAAAGGCATGCAGAAAACCCCACAGAACCTTTTTGCCAATTCAGAGCCTTTCCAAGCGGCCTGAGACTTCTCCTCTGCCACCCCCTGTCCCAGCACAGCTGTCTGAACCATACAGAGGCCGCCAGGCTGTCCCTCTCTGCTGACATTTCCCACGTGTGCACAAACCATTAACCCCTTTGGGGAACAGGCTGGCCTGCTCGGGGGTTGGAAGAGGGGGGCAGGGGAAAAGCTTCTCGAATTGGGAGAAAAGGCTGGAAAACTCAAGACTCAGTTCCCACCCAGGGAGTCACTTCCTCTCGTCAGGCCAGTGCTCCCCTTGTTTAATTCCTTGGGGGAAAGGTTGGCTCTGAGACATCTGAAAGACATTTCAGCTCTGAAGTGAAAAAAAATCACAGACCCTGAAGTGGGACTGCCTGGGGTAGAGTCTTAGTTCCACCACCTACCAGCTGTGTGACCTTGGATAAGTTTCTCAACATCTCCGGGCCTCCTCTAGAAAGTAGTCCCACAGAAGTCGGAATCAATCAAATACGTACTTACAGGAGTGCCTAGCACAACACGGTGCTGGGTATAGTTATTACTATCTACCTACTCTGCTAGAAACAGCCCTTAACTTTGAAAAAAAAATTCAGGTTTCCTGGGGGGAGGGGAAGTGTGAGGTTACGATGCTTCAATGAGATAAGCCTTGCCCCTAGCAGTTACTATTATCATGTAAAGCTACCGGGCCGGGGGACTGGGCGAGGGTCTAGTATCCAACAGTGAACGGAGGGAGGTGGGGGCTGGAGAGGAGAAAGGATGATAAATAAATACCTGCGAGGCCAGGACATGCTGCTGGAGGTGGAAAGGCAGGGTGGCCGCGGACGCCCCCGACAGTCCCTGGGCCGCAGCGGCTGAGGCCATGGCCGTGGAATCCAGGCCTGAGACGCCCGTGGAGGCCCCGGACACGGTGGCCAGCAGGGGCCCCATGCCGGCGGCCATGCTGGAGAAGGCGCCCCCCATGGCGAACTGGCCCGGGTGCAGGAAGAGCGGGTGCCCGTTGAAAAACTGCTGGCCGGCCAGGCCCGGGGCGAAGCCGAGGCCGGGCAGCGGGCCCTGGCCCAGGTGCGCAGTGGCCGCGTCGGTCTGCACGGTGAGAGGCGCGAAGGCCTCCTTGCCCGGCAGCGCGCGCGCTTCCTCGGCCTTGGACGTGGCCGCGCCCTCACGACCGGGGCTCCGCCGGTCCTCCGCGCCCAGGCCGCGGGTGCTGGACGAGATGGTGGCCGGGCTGTGACGCGAGTCGGGAGACGCCTTGTCCATCCGCCCGCTGTCCCGAGGCCGGCCGCCGGGCTCGGCCGAGAAGAGGTGCGCCTTGACCGCCGGGCTGCCCTTGTCGCGGCTGGGCTCCTCCGACGTGGTGGTGGAGATCTTGGCCGCGTCGCAGGCCTCGGGGCCAGGCTCCTCTTTGCTCTCGGCCTCGGCGTCGCTCTCGCCCTCGCTGGCACACAGATCTGCCATAGGAGGGGAACAGAAGCAGGGCGGAAGGGCGTTAGCTCCGAGCTGCACCCGTGGAAAGCCAGTTCCCCAGTTTGAATCTTGGCTCGGCCACTTGCTACCTGGGTAACACCCGGCAAGCCCCCCCTAACTGCTCTGTGCCTCAGTTTTCTCGTCTGCAAAATGGGGGCGATGCTATTTCCTAACTTTAGTGGAGTCAATAAGCTAATAATGAATTTAAGGTATTTAACTAGACTGACACCCTCCCCCCCAAGTCAGTAATGAAGTTTACTTTTTTTTTTTTTTTACCAGCATGGCTTGACCTCCTACTGTGTCCGACTATGCCTTTATTCACCGTTTCGTATTCGGTTGCAAATTTACTTTTTTTTAAATAAAAAGTAACTTACACTGACACTCACTGCAGGAACACCATTGGGGTCTTTGTCTAGATCTGCACCTTCCACAAATGTGTGAATTCTTTCGGAAGGATTTGTTGGGAAAGAACCCTGACACCTGAATTGGTAGTGGCAGAAATGAACACCCCTACCCCCAACACACACACACACACACACACACACACACACACACACACACACTGCACTGGGCCTCTCCGTTAGCCCCAGTCCCATCAGACAGAGACGGGTGATGGGCAGCCCCCTCCAACCCCGGACACTCATAGATTCTTTTTGCTCTCACCACACCCTCTGTGGGTGTCCTACCAGGAAAAAAGAAAACGGGATCCTATTTTATGTTTAAAGCTTAAATGGATTGATGACAGAAAAGACTTTCATTTTTTATTAAACATAAAAAACAGGTTTCTTCCCGTTGTGAGAGTGTGTGTATCTTTCCAAAGAAATAGCTCTTTGCTCTTTAAACACAGGAAACCAACTGGGGATTTGAACCATCTCGACCCCTCCCAGTGAACACCCTCCCCTCCCCTCCCCAGCTCACATCCCCTGGGCTCCATCTCCTCCCTCTCACAGGTTGTTGCTCTCTAACTTGTATCTTTTCTTGCCCACCACGGTGTCTGTTCCAGGTGGCAGAGAACCCCTGGCCTCCCCCAGCCCAACACGTTTTATACCTCTGAGTTTAAAGATGGTAAAAGGTCAGTAGCTGCTTGTTTGGAGACAATGGGAGGGCGGAGAAAGTGCTCCAGGCAGTTTTCTAAGCTGCCCCCCACCAAGAGGGAATACATAGACACCACCCTGACTCCCAGTCAAACTAAGGTTGGAGGGGAAGGGATTCTGAGCTCTCCTCACACTAGCTTAGGAGGGGGGCGCACACACCTGATCACCCTTTTTGAATGTTGGCTCCGGTTTCCTGACTTGAAGAAGGGCCTGTAGCTTTTGAAGGGCAAGTTCCCTGGTGGGTGCCCCAGTCCCCAATTTTTCCAGGCCTCCAAGACCTGGAGTCCAGAAATCGAAGGTGACCAGGCTTACCTTTGAGGTTGGATGTCCCAACAGTGGAGACAGCTGGGGACGAGGACTGAGCGAAACAGCTGAAGGCTGCCTGCTCGCTTGAGGACTCATCGGAGGTGCCATTTTCCTTTTTGTGTCTGTCATCGAACACCCTCATGGACTGCAGGGTGAGCTGTTTCCTGAGGCAGAAGCCCACACCCAGCATTACAGACCGGAACATACATTTCCCCTCTTTAGGTGTCTCACCCACTCCAAAGAGGCACACACACCTCACCTTGCCTGCTGCCCATGGACAACACTAATTCTGCAATCTGCTTGCCTGGGGGCAGCCCCACAGACCTACGCATTGTTCCTGACCCTCTAACTGGGCTGAAGAGGGTGGCACCAGGAAGGCGGCTCAGGTTGCATTTATTCAAGATCAGAGTTTCATTCAGGGAAGGGCATGGGCTTGAGCACTGATATTTTGTTTAAAAGCAAAAAGCAAAGAGGGGAGGTTGGAGCTGGCCAGAGACAGCTGAACAGCAGGCCTGGCAGAGGGAGGGGACCGGGGGACCCGGGCCCGGTGAACACAAACAGCCTACAAGCTCCCCACTTGGTTGCTAAGATTGGGAGGAAGTGGTTATTTCATGGTGCACTTTTCTGTAATCGGTTCACCAACACATTAATTGGAGTAAAAAATCTGTTTAGATGTTAGAAATTATTTTTTAATGCCCAACCCCCCCGAGGGGATAGGTTAAAAATTTGGGTTGATTTTCTGGAGTTTAGAAATTCTATGAAAGCGGGTGGGGGAGTGGAGAGCTTCTTTTATATACTATCCAGCTGTCTGCTTAATGCAAAATGATACATGTACCCATGAAAAAGGGAACCACAGATTTCTCCAGGGTATTCAGTTCTGTCTGATGGTATTTGCAGGACGAGACTGCAAAAATTCCAAAGCATTTTTGTGCATGGCTTAGTCCTTTCCTGGGACCTGCCCTGGATGAACTTCAATTAATTAGGAATTAATAGGCATCTGTATATAATCAATTATCCCTGATGCTTTTCTTGCAGAGAGAACTATGGTGTGGCCTAGTTAATTTCCTTTAAGGTAACAAGTAGGTGGAAGAAGTATAGCGTGCTAAAATCAGCAAGCACATGGCATGGGGGGGGGGGTAAATGAGTTCCTACCCTTCCCTCCCCTTCTCAATATAAGTGCCAGCATCCCACTTCTAACAGTTGAGACTTGGGATCTAGCAAAGTGATTTTTCTAAATTACCTGAGAAATAAGGAACTATCTCAGCTTACCTTTTTTCTCTCCTGCCATTCCCAGTGTCCCGGAAACCTTTTGCAAAAGGGTTGTTGTCTATTTTTAACTGAGTTATCTACAGGAGGAGACACAAGCAAGAAAGACACATTGGCCTCATTTTCTAGTATGTTCTGGGGGTGTTTCTCCCAACTCAGTTGACTAGAAATTTGACTGCCACCAGGAGACCTCATTCGGATCTGCCAGGTTAAAGAGAAAGGGAGAGGAGATAATAGCAGAAGTTTGGAGGGTCTGAGATAAACATCAAAGGAAACTATCATGTCTTGGGTCTCCCATTGGAGGCCAAGAAGGGATTCCAGGCCGAAATTACCCTACCTGGGAAATCCCTCATTCTTTTCTTTGCGAAGCATGCTGCTTGGGCTTAGAAATGGAAAAGTTGTCAGAACAGTCAAAAGGGACAACCTGTAGATCTTAAAAGTATGCTTTCATTTTGACTTTTTTTTATACAGTGCAATTAATCATAAAATATGTTGCGGCATATTTCCTGCTCCCAAACACACACACACACACACACACACACACACACACACACACACACACACACACACACTCTCCAACCTTTTCTGTGAATCTAATAAAATGATTTATGGGGTTTCGTTACCCTTGTGCCAGAGTGGGTTTGATTTTTTTTGCTGGGGGAGGGGGGACGGTTTGAGGAATTACAATATTGACAATTACAGATTTAAAAGGACCGAATGACCACTGGAAACATTTGTTTTCATTTATATGCTCTGCCACGCCATTAGGTGAAGGCCCGTGGCCTCTTTGTCTGATCAAAAATGCTACAATTTATTATTACACTAACAACTTAAGATTCACTGGCTTCTGGGTCTAGAGAGAGCATGCGTTCTACACACTGATAGAAAAATGCCATACATAGTATGTAATCTTTCAAATCCCTTCCCTTTGGGGGGAAAAAAATAATATATACAGAGCTCCCTAGAGGTGGAAAAGGGCCCCTTGGCTTGGTTCTTGTTCTTGGAATAAATTCCTGTGTGTAAAACTTGCAGAGAGAGGTCATGATATCTTAATCTCCATACTGAGGAAATATACCTGAAAGCACCCCCATCAGCTGGCCACAGAGGACCCACCTACAGTGATAGCGCATTCAAAATGCGGGTGCTGTCCAGTGGGTTGGACTCCCATTGAGGTCCAGGGTTCAGAGGTTGAAGAGCAGGGGTCCTCAGTTGCCCTCCCACCCCCACCCCACCCCCATAACTGCCTGCTAACAGCAAGCTGGCAACTGGTGGATCAGCAGCGAGAGTCACTTTGTGTCTCTGTGCTGTGTGCCCATGACCTTCAGGCCACCAACATTTTACATACCAGGTGCTGCCTGCTGTTCTATGTGGGGACACGCTTAATCCCCGGCCTCAGGTCCAAGGGAGAAAAAAACTTCAAATGAAGTGGTGACTTTGGTTACCTCCTCTCAAAAGCCTCAGACAACTCAATTAGCATGACCCTGTGATCAGGGTAGGTTTTTCCAAACACACACACACACACACACACACACACACACCATAAAAAGCACAGCAGCATAAAAGGTAATAAAAACCAGATCAGCTACTCGGGATTTCTGGCTAGGGTAGAAAAGCTGGTCTCTACTGGGATTCTCCTCCCAGTATCCCCAGTGGCTTTTGCCTTAAAACTTTTAGCTGATTCCTTGAAACTTCTTCCTGAAGAAGAGGATGAACCTTGAAACAAACAGGGGAAAACCCAGGGTGGGGTGGGGGTGCGGCACCAGCAACAGAGGTTCTAGGAGCTTCTCACTGGCAAAGTGAGTTTGGCATTTTTTTTTCTTTCTTTTTTTCTTCGTCTGCCTCTGCAATGTGCTAGCGCCCCTTTGCCCAAAAGCTCCACAGACGGTCAAATCCCAAAAGAAAACGCCAAGACCCCCGTCCCAATCCTCTTGCGACTTTCTCCTCCTCACCCAAAGCAGCTTAAAGGACAAGAAAAATATCACCCTTAAAAAGAAAAGCGTCTTCGGTTACCTTATCGTTCTGATAGGCCGTTACCGCGATGAATTCGGTTTCGGGGAACAAGTACGTCCGAAATGTACTATAAGGGAGTTTCAGGATGTCATTGGCTCTGACGATGTGAAACCGGGGCTGGTACTTGTGCATGGAGTTCAATATAGTCTGCAGGGGCAGGGAGGAGGAGAGACACACGTCAAACAAGGATTTAGAGGGTCAAACAGGAACTTAGGACCCCTGCCAGGCTGACAGCTACCCCACCGGAGGGTACCGCGGTTGGACCGAGCCCACCTCCTGGGAGCACCGCTTTTGGGTACATTTCCCTCCACAGATGTTATCTTCCGGAGAATCCAAATTGCTCGTCAGTTTCCAAAGGGTCCCCCCACCCTCACCATCTGAGGTTCATTCGAACCTTGAACCCTAGCCTACCTGAATACCAAAACTATAATTCCCCTGCCACGTTGCGTGATCACTTGGGAAGGCCAAAGTCTTAAAAGATAGAGAAAAACATGCATTTTAATTTACAAAATAATCCAGTCCTTTAAGCGCCCACTAATTGACGAGCCCACTCCACTTAAAACCCTGAAAGGCTGAACTCTAGAGAGGAATATTTACGCCTTAATCAAATCAAGGGCTTCAAATGCAATTCCTGCCCGCTGAAGATATTTCCGCGCGCCTTTCTCGTCTTCCTGAGCCTAATCTTTCTGCTTATTCCTCGCTTATCGCTGTTTATTTTATTGAAATGTTGGGGAGGGGTAGGGGCCAGGGGCAAAAGGTCCTTTGCTTGACTTTTACAAGCAATCCACGTCTCCTGAAAGTTTCTAAATATGCTCCCACGGAATGTATCCACTCTCAACATACACACACACGATTTTTACACCAGAGATCGGCCTCATTTCTAGTAAACCTGACTTTTCACCTAAACCGGATTCTTTTTTTAGCAAAAGAAAAAAGTCTTCCCCCAAAATGGAATCACACCCTTTACCCAATGTAGTCAAGGCTTCAAACCTTAAAACTCTCCCAAGAAATAAAATGGCTGGTTTCAAAAAAATATATATATGCGGATGATAGCTTCAAATAAATCCTTTATGAATACATAATTTCAACATTGGTTTTCTATCTTAGCGATTCGTTTTTAACTTCACTGTCAGGTCAGGCTTTTCCCAAGACCTGAAATTGCCCTAGAACAGGAACTGGTCCGCTTTCTTGACCTTGTTTCTTTTACAACGCCAGGCCTTCCCTTCTCCAAAGAGAAACACCCCCGACTCTGAGTCCTCGCTCCGACTCTACAGCTGCTCCAACAAGTTCACTACGTTTCACTACAGAGAGCAAGGGAGAAGTCTGAGCAGAAACTCACAATTTTACATGGCATGGGGGAAGCACTGCCTTTGTTAGAGGGGAGAAAGAGAACATTTTACTGAAGGGAGTGAGGAAACTTACAAATCCGTGTTTGTCCGAAATGTTGTTGGTGAGTTTCAGTTTGTGGAAAGTGACAACTTTGGACATCCACTGTTCCCCGGTAGCCGGGCTGTCCGGGTGAATATACATTCTCTTTGGCATTTCAGGGTCAGCCTTACCCGCCACCATCCACCGAGAATTATGAAATTTATATCGACAGTCATCAGCAGCTATAATGTCCATCAACAAAATATATTTGGCTTTTTTATCCAGCCCAGAACATCTTACTTTAAATGGGGGAAACATTCGCCTGCAATAGGAGAGAAAAGAAAAAAAAAAATCAGTCACTTAGAATCTCCCTGGGTTTGAGTCTCTATGGAGCCTAAAATGTTTAAATTAAATTTAAAATGTGCTACTATGAAGGATGAGCGTATATGTTTCAGAGCAGAGTGGCTAGGTGGAAAATTGTTTTCTTCCACAACAGAGAATTAAATAGGCTCAATTTCTCAATCTTTAAATGTCCCAAGACTCAAAACAAGGGAATTATGGCATTGCATTTCTCTACATCGTCTCAAAATTTCTTCGTATATTTTTCTCTTTATAGATCGTGACTTTATATAGATTGCCCTCTTTATAGAGAAATTCTTGCCCATGCCTCTTCCTGTGGGTGTTTAGTTCTAAACAGCTTGGAGCAGGATTTTTAAAGTGCGGTCAGTTAAGGCTAGAATTTTTCACCACCCGTCGATGAGAAAAGGTTCAACTTATCAAGGAAATAAACGTCAAGTTGTACCCGTGCTTTCAGCACAGCAGCCCCGCTGCTGGCAAAATGAAACTGGACTCAATGAGTTCTTAAAAACGAATTTTGTAGATTGGGGTGGACTCCCGGGCCTGATAACCAAGCTGCCTTGGAGCTGCTAATCACATTCCCCCAACTGCTCAGGCCAGTCCCAAACGGCAAGATTGTGCCACCAAACTGCTGTTTATTTCCCAGAAGTGTTGGCATTCTATACTCTCGACTTAAAAGGAAGCACTTTGCTGTGAAACTGGCTAAATGTCTCCTGGGTCTGAGGATTTTTATGCCCAACTTTGGCCTCCTTTAACTTGGAAAGACACAGAAGAAAGCAGAAGACATCAAGCGAGGCATTTTATTTTTATTCTTTCAACTTTATGCCTTGATAGACTTCAATGCCATAAAAAAAAATCTGTGATTTTGAGTGACAAGGCCAGTTTCGGGTCAGGCAAGGACCTCTAAACGTTACATAAAATATGGTTGATAGTATTTGCACATAATACAGGAGCATTTGTCTCGCTCGGTCTCCCCACTGGCTCCTTGGGTCTGCAAACCTAATTGTAATTATCCCAAAATCGCCTGCTGAACTCTCCCTCGGATTACAGACACGGTGAAGCAGTGTGGACAAACAAACCCAGCGGCCCTACGATTCGATTCCTCTCTGACCCTGGCAGCCACAGGCTCAGGTCCCCTCCAGACTCAGAGGCTAGGCTGGGAGGGCAGAAACAGCCAGAGGAGCTGGTGTCAGGCCTCTCGCTACCACACAAAAGAAAGGGGCTTTACATTTTTCTCTCTGAGCACAAAATGAAACAGAGACAAAAACAAAACATCAACAAGGCCAGAAAGATGTTCCAGAAAGATTTGAACAATGCAACTCCTGCGGTGAGGTGCTTTTCTTTCTCCTTGCAGAAATGTCTGGGCTCCACCGAAAAAAAATTCTATCCTGTAGGAAACCCAGGATGCTAACTTGGGGAGGAAAAACCCGCCGCCTGCAGACACCCAGGTAAGCTGAAATTTCCTGCCACAGGATCAGGCCCGGGAGTGTCTGTGCACAGTACCACGGGGACTGAAGTTTTCCTCTAAGCCGAAATTACTGACAAACTGACTGTCCTGGGAGAAGAGAGAGAAAGGGAGGGGAAAAACCCTCCAACCGTTCGCGGGAAGGGCCCCCGGCTGGCTTGCTTACCTTCCCGACTTAGTAATCACCATCTCGGTGCCTCGCTTGTGGAACTGATCCCAAAGTTCTTTGGCCTCGAGGTGCACCTTAGGGTCGTCCTCCACCTCTTCTTCGGGCTCCATGGTCTTCAGAGGCCTCAGATGAGCCTGGGGCCCCAGGGACGAGAAAGGGATGCCGGTCTCAGCCGCCCCCACCAATTGATCCATGATCGGCTTGGCCAGGGCGCCCGGCAGCGAGAGCGCCGCCGCGCCGTTGGGAGGCAGAGTCAGCGCCGGGAAGAAGGGCGGCTGGTGACCCAGCACCGCGCTCATGGCGAAGTCCGGCGCCCGGTGAGGTAGGAACGGATGGTAGGCCATGCTTGTCCCAGGAATGACCGGATCTCTCATGGAGAGGCTCATCCACTCCAGGCGGGCGCGCTGGGCTCCAGCCGGGGACAAGTCCTCCGCTGCTGTTTTGTTGTTTTGTTTTGCTTTGCTTTTTAACAGCAGCACATACTTTAAAAAGGAAAAAAAAAGGCAAAAAAAAAACCCCACCAAACACAACTAAAGCAACTCAAAGGGAGGGGGGAAAGTGTCTTTTGGGGAGGAGAATGCCGCTTTTAAAGAGGGCAAGGCGAGCGATCAGGAGACATAGTCGCTGGGGTGACTGTCCTGGTGCCTTGCGTTTTTAAAAAGCCGCTCCTGCAAGTCGGTTTCAGAGGCGAAGACAGCGAGCAAGGCTCTCGACTCGCGCCGGAGCTCGAAATAGACACTCCAGCCCTGGGTCCCGGGGACCGCGCCCCAGCCCCCAGTTCTTTGTTGCAAATGCGAACAGTTCTCCTAGGAGACTTTTTTTACCTTTTCTTCTCCTTCTTCTTTCCACCCCCCGCCCCCCTATCTCTCTGCCTCTGCCTCGTTCTCGCAGGCGGCGCCTGCCGTTGCGCTGGACCCGGCTTTAACTGCCGGCGAGAGAGCGGAAAAAGTCTCTCTCCTTAAAAAAAAAAAAAGAGAGAGAGAGAGAGAGAGAGAGAGGGAAGAAAAAAAAAAACACCACTCTGATTTAAGCCCTCTTCTAACCAGCGCTATCAAAACTTGAACGGCGCCCTGGCTTCCGTTCGCCGCCTCCTCCGTCCTCTGCTCCGAGCCTCCGGAGGGTGTCTGGGTTTCAATCCGAAATCTGGCCGCGCTCTCCTCCCGCGCCTGTCTTCCGTGTCCTAAAACGTGAGCGAATTCGCTTCCTAAATCTGCGTCCAGGCGCGCAGGGCAGGAAGGATGGAGGGGGGGGGGGGGAGGAGGAGAGAGAGAGAGAGAGAGAGAGAGAGAGAGAGAGAGAGAGAGAGACGGACGGAGTTGGGAGAGGGAGCGCGAGGAGAGGGAGGGAGCGAGCCANGGAGGAGGGAGAGAGAGAGAGAGAGAGAGAGAGAGAGAGAGAGAGAGAGAGAGACGGACGGAGTTGGGAGAGGGAGCGCGAGGAGAGGGAGGGAGCGAGCCAGCCAGCGAGAGCTCCTCGCCACCCTCCTCCGCCTCTAGAATTCCCCGGGCGTCTGCTCGCCGGCTCTAGAAGGTCGGGCTCTGCTGTGGGCTGCAGGGAGCCGGAGGCCTCTTGATTGGCTCTTTGACGCTTTCGGACCAATTGTGTTGCTGCATAGGCGTGGTTTTCACAGGTCGAGTGCTGGGGGATAGAGCCGAGTTATAAAAAGAAGGTGTCGGAAACTGTAACGTCGCAGCGCCGCATCGGTACTACTGCCTGTCCTGTGAATATGTCAACATGATCAGAGGGAGGGCGGGCGGCGCCACCGGGGAGCGCGCGCGCGCACGCACCGAGTCGCCTCTAGGTGGCTTATCGAGAGGATCGCCGCAGCCCCAGAGCTCGTTTCGCTCGCTGTTGCTCAGCCCACGTCTGAAATGCCTCAGTCATCCAGCCCGGGATCGAGGGAGGAGGCAGGGCCAGGGAGGAAGGGGTGGGAGGAGGGAGAGAACGAGCTGGGCCAGGAAGGCGGAGAGCGCGCGGGGCGCCGGGCAGGGGCGCTCGCTTCTCGCGCGCTCGGCTCGCTTCGCCGCCGCCGCCGCCGCTGCCGTTTCTCTCTCCTGCTGACCCGCTTGCTAACCGGCCTCGGGCAAGCCAGGCAGACGGCTGGCTGAGCCTCCTGCGAGCTGCCGTTCAGCCGCTGGGCGCAACAAAAGCCGGCGGCCGCCGCGGGGAGGCGAGCGCCCAGACTCCAGGCTCCCACGTGGAGCCAAGCTCCGCCCGGCCGCCGTTCCAGGGCTCCCGAGCTCGGGTGTCTCTCGGTGCCGGTCTCCCCTACATCTGGGCTCGCGGGCTCACGAGCACACGGATAAGGCCAGATCTCAGCACACGCGTGCTGGGCACCCTCTTCACCATGCCCCACCCGACCCTAGGTGCGGAGACCCGAACACCCCCCCCCTTCCCCAGCACGTCTGTACGCGAACATGCATGCGGCAGCACACTGGGACCGAGCCACCCGCAGAAAAACATGTACATGCAAACACCTACACAGCCTGTGCCGCGGGGCCCTGTCTGCGTTCATTCGGGAGGCGGACTGAGGGTTTTGTGAAATGCGTTCAGCAGCCCTTTGGGTTCTGGTCTTCCATCTGGATTCGGGCTCCCGGTATTCCACTTGAGTGCGTGTGTGAGTGTAGAAGGGGAGACCTGCAGATCCGGACAAAGTGATCGCGGCGCAGGACTAGGTTCTGGGCCTGTCCCCCGCCAAGCCGCTGCCCTCACCGCCGAGCGGAGCTGCGGGTCAGGGGCTGACGAGCCGGGAGGGGGAGGTGCGCCAGCCTCCTATCCTCTGCAGGCTTCGCACTTATCTCTCGGTGCCTCAGTTCCTTCTCCACCGCGGGACTTATCTCACCAGAAGTCGGGGGTGAATTTGTAAAACAAACTGTGAAACGCCCCCCACCCCAGAGGTGAACAGACTGGTTCCAGTTCAGGTACGGTGGGGGCGTGAAGGGAAGGACGGCAACTCGATCTTACGGATCAGACCTGTAGCCGAATTGGTAACTGTTACCGCAGGGTCTCTGCCCCGTCAGAGGATTCCCTAAACCACATTTCTCGCTTCTGGGGTGGGGGTGGGGTAGGGTGTGGGGGGGAGCATGAGTTGGGCCATTCCTGCTTCAGAAGGAGGGAAATCTTGGGGACACTGTTCTTTTACCCTTCCTGAGTTGAGAGCTTCTTGGAGTGGAAAAGAAACGTAGAAAGGGCTGATTTCGGGGCCTAAGGGTGAAGAAATGTGCGTGTCTATGGGTGGACCTCACAATCCTCTCTTCCACGTTGCCTTATGTACCCCGGAAACCCCCAGCTGCAGATCCCGAAGTGGGAGCAAGTGGAGGGTGAAAAGGCAGTTCCTTTGTGGGCGAACCGCGCCGAGATAGGGGCGGAACTTTGGAGGCGACAAGCTTTTCCAGCCTCGCATTTTTGACGCACATGGTTAAGAGCGCTTGGCGCCAGCGCTGAGAAGTCCCTGAAGTCACAGAGAGAATGGAGTGGCTCTGCGAACTCAGTCTGGCTCGCCATCTCGCCCCCTTTCTTTTCCTTTCGGTCTTTCTCTGGCGTCCTCTCGGTCTCTCTCTCTGCGGGTGGTTGAGAGAAAGAGCGAGAGAACAGCAGAGGCGGCGGGGCCCAGGGTGTTGCAACGCCCCCTCCCGCGTCCCTTGAGGCCAGGCCTGCCTCCTCTTTGCACTGACCACTAAGGTCACTGCTGGGCTTCACGAGTCTCTGGAGACAAAAACCCACCCCCTCCAGCAGATTGCTCGCCGCCAGAGCCCCGGCCGCTTCGCTGCGCTCTCGGGAGTGGCCCCGCGATCGGGTTTTGCCTGCGCCTTGCCGGCCAATCTCTGCCCGCACGCTCCGAGCAGCAGGAAAGCAATCTGACAACCCTCAATGTGACCGACTCCCTCCTCACCCACTCTGTGCCCCAAGCACCCAGATGCACAGGAGAGAGAGAGATTTCGCTTGGTCTTGGGCCGCGTTCTGGCCTACCTCCTGTTCTGGACGTGGGAAGGGAGCTTGCTGGTTTCACTTGTAAATACCCTGACTTGCCTTTGCCCCCACGGTGGGCCGAGCGTCCTTTCTGCCCCTCACCCTTGCCCCTCCCTCAATGACCATCGCTCTAACTTAACCCTGGGTCACCCCAGTTGCCAGTCCTGACCCCCCACTCCCACTCTAGCGTGCAAGGAAGGTGGGGGCAGAGGAAAGTTTGAGGGGTTCTGAATCGAAAATGTCGACATCTTGCTAATGGTCTGCAAACTTCCGCCAATTATGACTGACCTCCCAGACTCGGCCCCAGGAGGCTCGTATCATGCAGGGAGGCCGCGGTAACTGGGGATCAAAAGAGGGAAGGTGTGAACTCCTCTTTGTCTCTGCGGGGCCGCCGCGCCCCCCTCCTGGTGGGTGATAAACCCACTCTGGCGCCGGCCTTGCGCTGGGTGATTAATTTGCAAACAAACAAAAGCGGCCTGGTGGCCACCGCATTCGAGTTAAACATTGGCTAGCGTATTCCGAGGACTTGTGCCAGGCCTGGCTGCCGGGGGACCCACAAAGGTGGCGCCCCCCAGCCGGGGTTTTAGGCTCCAGCTGCGAGCCCTACGCGGTCTTTTTTTTTCTCTCTCTCTTTGCAGAACCCCACTATCTTCTCTGCCCGGCCTCATGGCTCAACAAAAGACATACGGAAAAACACTGAATGAGCCTGCCCCTCTGCAGAGTCTGAGACGTGGTGGTGCTTCAAGGAAAAAAAAAAACTTTTCACTTACTTGTAGGCCTGATTTTTAATAATAATTAATAATAATAATAGCCTTTCCATATCTGTTAATGCCTGCAACGTTTAATGCGAAGGAGCAGCGTGAGTGTAGACGGTAAAGTGGGGAAGAGGCAGAAACGCCCCAGAATAAATTTCGGATGTACACACACTAAACCAAATCAACTACCCAGGCCACGGACGTGGACGTGGCCGAGAGCTAGTCTTGCCCACAAATCGCCTGGGAAGTGTCTGCCCGGTCTCATCCTTATAGCACCGCCTGCCTCAAACTAGAGAGGGGACACACCGACCCTTTTGTGACCGAGGGTGTTTATCTGAAGTTTACAAAAAGGGGGGGTGGGGTGGAGAAAGGGGGCAAAGGATGGTGGGTAGGCGGGGTCGTTTACTTTGGCAAGTTTGCTGTAAATATTCCCCTTAGCATGTGTGAGGTCTGGCGAGGGACTGTTACATGCTTATCCCCTCTTAAACTTTCACCCCTGTTTGCCGCGGAGCTTTTTTCAGTCTGAGGTGTCGCTAAATAGGGAACTCTGTTGACATAAGGACATCCGCGTTTCTCTAGGGGTCTGAGGCCTAATTAAGACGTTTCCTACGGGGGTCGGTCCATCCGTAAACTTTGACCGGGGAAGGGGCTGTCTCGTCGCCCAGCCGTAGAGAGATGGCCAGTGTTTCAGCCAATGCCTCCCCCTCTGTGGATCCCGGCTCTTTGGATATTGACTAGCTATGAAACTGACTAGGTGCCCGCTTACTTTAGGACTCTCATTCCCCAAACTGGAGGCATGATGTTCTTATCAAGGATCCCAGGGAAACACCTCCTTGGGAGCGCCTGGCTTACTGGGCATGGTTCCTCCTGCCAATCGCAGCTTGCACCCCCTCCCCACCCAAGCACTCACGTGTTACCCCAAACCCTGACTCTCTCACATGCAATTCTGTACCCAAATGGAGGACTTCTGCCGGGAGCTGGAAGGCTTGATTTATCTCCTGGAGCTTAGCATTCACACACACACACACACACACACACACACACACACACACACACACACACACAGCTTGCTTTAAGAGCTTAGTTCCTCTCAGGTCAGGAGGCTTCCCAGTCAGTTTCTTGGTGGGAGGGTCGGCTTCCCCATTTTTATTCCATCCAGAGGCAGGCACTAGCCTCTTGGTTAGACCAGACACGGTTCTCCCTCTCTATCTCCTTTCAGGATTCTATGACTGTAGCTCTGTGACTTTTCTTCCCCTGGTTCCCTAGAACTTGCTCTGCCCTCCCTCTCTCTCTCTTTCCCTCCCGTCTATCTTGTTCTTGGTTTCTATTTCTCCTCCTTGTCTATCTCTGTCCCCTAGCCTTGAACTTCCTTTGTTCGTTCTGTTTTTCTTTTACTCTCTCTCCTAAGTTTTTCTTCCCCTTCTCCCTTTCTATTTTCCGGGGCTTCCTTGGTCCTTTCTGACTCTCTCCTGTCTTTCCGTATTTCTGGATAGTCTGCATTTTCCCCCCGCCCCCCCCCCCATCTCTTCCAGTAACAATGACAGGCCGAAGATACCTCAAAC